CTGCGAAGGTGAAAAAGTGGAAAATTATGGGAATAGGTGCTCTTATCTTATTAAATCCCACCAATCATTCTGTACTCTAGGAGGTTTAGGTGGTTGATTGCTAATATGAGAATGTAGGGTCATGCTAGCTACTGATTTTAGCTCAGGAATTTGTAATTTTGAAGGTATATTGGTGCCCATATATCATATGCACTACATATATTCATTGTCAAAGAAAGGTGATGGTTTTTCTGTAAATTTATCATGTCCTCAGAGCTGACGTTGAGATGATACATCTGTAAATATTGTTTCGATAACTTGATGTCTTCAATTGCAAGGAATTATGAAAACTCTTGTGTGCTTATTATGATGCTATAACATATCATGCCTTGAAAATTTACACTCTAATGGAAGTGATTGCAAGGTTAAATCCATAGACTAGAAGCAAGAAAAGAAAACTAATGAGATGGACGAGTTGAAGAGTGACAAAGTTAGGGAGATTTTTTTTCATAGTTTCATTTCGGAGGTAAAACTCACCATCTTTTCGCATTCTTTCTAATGTTGGCTATTATATAAACCTGTGAAAAGTTGTAGATAACATTGTCATGTCATGTAACACTATTTAATAAAAAACAGTGATCAGTATTTATACTTACAAAAGTACAAAAATGAAGATTGGACAGGTTCTCTTTGTTATTTTATAGTTCAACCTTTTTGCCAAACATTTATAATTCACTAGGCTGTTGGCCATTTTCCGACTTTATAATTACATTAAAGGAAGCCAGCCATGGGCAGTCTTTATATGGGGATTTTTCGGCTCCATCCTTTTCTGTCTCTGTGTTTTTTGGAAGACCCAAGGGTGGAGGAAATGGGGGCATGTTTGTTAACAAGCCAGAGTTTGAGGGCTAGATGATGCACTTTTGACCTGTGAAAAGTTGTGTGAGTCAGCTATTGAGTACATCTGAATATTAAATTAGAGTTGTGATTCGTTGTTCAATTCACAATATATTGGTGTTGTCTAGTGCCTTCTATATATGTGGGCATACGGAAAACGCAGTCTCAACATCCACATACCCTGAAAGGAAAGGGGAAAACAAGAAAAGGGAAAGTAAAACAGAGACCTTTCCTTGCCTTGAACAAGATCAAGGCAAAATGTCAGGTTTGTTCCAATGTGAAGTGGCCCCCTCAAATCTTATAACATTACCAAATTGAGAAGATCAGGGTTAGTTGAATATGGTGCCTATGAAAATGTGTCGGCGTGGTTTGTTAAGTATTCGAGTCATCAGTTGTTCAGAATAGAACAAGCTAGAGGAGAGAGCAATAGATTTTGCGTAGATCAATATCAGTTGGCTGAAGTGGAAAATCCATTTTGATCATCATTAGGTTACAATTTTGGCCACAGAGAACGAGGGAAAATTGATGATCCAGATTCCTAGTAGGGGAAGCAAGCAAAGTAGATTCTTTTAAATCTTGGGTATATTATTTAATTGGTCATTTTCATGCTTTTGCAGGTTTCCCACTCCGACCATAAAAAAATGTGGGATGTCTTCGTTTATCCTCTTTTGAATCTCAAACTAATGAAGTTTTTTACCCTACGTTCGTGACAGTTTGTTCCTTCAATAGTTTCTGTAGTTAATCCTTTTTACATAGTAACATGGAAGTTTCTCATCCTTGCCTTCTCTTGAAACTT